TTTGAAATCAAAGAGGAAGAGATGAAAAATGTAAATTACACAGGGATAAACATAAAAATTGACTGCCACAAATCCTTTCTTCCATCTTCTTGCATTTCTCCACCTCTCCCAATCTCCCATTATTCTAGTTTATTCGATCTAAGGAATTCACTGGTTGTTCACAAACGTCTATGTTTACATGGGTTAAGATTAATTTAATTGTTTAAAAGGAACTTTGGTTGGTTAAAAGTGATGTTAATGCAAGGACTTTTAAAAGGGGGCAACAGGCATGTATGGAGACCTGTGCAGCTGATTGGTGACGATAGAGTAGTTAATCCTGGATTAGGTTTCATTTGGTGCATTAGTCAAGAAGTGCTCCCTCTGACTTTGCCCCTTAAAATACAAATTAAGATAATGACATAGTTTGGTCGGGAGTTGCTTTGATTTGGACTTTTATGCTTCCTTTCTATCTTTCTTTTTTTGAATTTTTCCCTTAGTTTTTATTTATGCAATCGGTTGTACAAATTGCACTTTTCTTTTTTGGTGAAATCAAATGTATTCTTAGGCCAATTTTGACATGAAACTAATTCTTTTTAAGTTAAGAGTATGAAAAATTAAAACTTTCCCTAACTAGCAGTATACTTCAAGTTGGTCGAACTAGTATTTTTTATCTTTTGAGATAAAGGCCACTTACTATCACAACTAATATTTGTTGGTCATACAAACTGCATTTTGTAGGTGAATATCACTGCATATTTGTTTATTTCGTAACACATGTTCAATAAACCAATCTAGGTATAAATGGATAGGATAGCTGCCTATAATATTAATTCAATGTCACGTGAATATCACTGCATATTTGTTTATTTCGTAACACATGTTCAATAAACCAATCTAGGTATAAATGGATAGGATAGCTGCCTATAATATTAATTCAATGTCACATATTTTCAATTAATAGACAATATATGTGTAAATAGGATTCAATTTAAACAATTTGGCTTAAATTTTGACATATTCAAAATTAAATTACCTTTGCCAAGAGTTTTGCTTTAGTGATTTAGGCTGGATTATATTTGGAGTAAAGTTGTTTACATGTATCCTTGCTCCGGGAGTAGGGACCTGACTTGATATATTGGCCAAGCAAAAGGGATGACACCTTTGGCTAGGGGTGTTCACGGGTTTGGTTCGGTTTTGGACCTAAATCAAATCGAACCGAACATATCGGTTTTGATTTTTATTAGATATGATCGGTTTGTTTTTCAAAAAACCAAACCAAACCAAATTAACTTAAGTCAATTTGGTTCAGTTGACATGTTCAGTTTTTCAAATTTTTTTTAAATTTGTAAAAAAATTCAATATAAATATAAATATATATAATATAATTTATACATATAAATATATATAAATACAATATAAATATAAATATATATAATATCTATATAATATATATATTAATAAATAGAATGGTTTGGTTTGATTCGATTTTATTTTGAGATAAAATCGAAACCGAATCGATTGGTTCATGGGATCTTATAACTGAATTAAACTAATTTCTTTCAGTTTGATTCAGTCCAATTGGTCCAGTTCGATTTTGAACTCCCCTACTTTGACATCCCTAGTGCCTACAATTTGATCTCCCACAATGAGAGGGAGGCTAACTTCATGGTATAGGGCAAAGTGTAGAAGTTTCAATCAAGCTTAGAGAGAATGAGATTTTTTTTGTACTATTGATGTTACAAGGCAAATTACTCATTAACGAGAGAATAGCTTAATAGTTTAGCTACGGTAGAGGATATAGTGAGTATAGAGCTCACATGGACACTATTTTACATGCTCTTAGGAATTGTCTCATAGTCGTTAGGGTTTGGGATAATTATGTAGATAATTTGGTTAAGATAAACTTATTTAAGTGTTTAAAATGACACATTGAGCCCTTCGTCAATCAAGTTAAAATGACTCTTTATCTTGATTTGATGAAATTTTGTACTATTCAAAAATTTATAACTTAGCCTTTTTCTTTTCTTTTTTTTTGAGTCTCAGCTTCTGTTTAAAAATAAAAAATATTTACACGTACACTGATCGGTGACACTGGAATATAAAGTACGATCACTGCAATTTCACGTTTCTTTGTTATGGATTTGGGTCATGGTAATCTCTTGATTTCCGAAGAAATTATCGTGATAATGAAATTACCCAACTAGCCTTTTCCAAGAACCTCCGTTAAAAATTGACACATGTCAATGTTTGATTTAGGAGTACCTTTTAACCTCGTCAGTCATTCCGCCACTTTCGGTATCGGCCTACAAATTCCCTGACGGAAGCGGGTTGACTTGAATAGGCTAAAGGCCACAACGGATCCACCCAATCGTTGGCCGAGGCCGGCAGAATTTTCCACCGCCTTTCCTCCTATCAAAATGAAGGTTCTAGATAAGGGGCTGAAGTATTGGACCTTCTCAACGAGGCCCAAAAGAGCCCAATCCAACACAATGCTGTAACTAGTAGGCTGATCCAAGAGTGAAAGCCCAAAATGCTCAACAATTATTTTAGAGCTGTCAGTACAACGAATTTTAATTCAAATTCTATACAAATTTGATACAATTATTTAGTATTTTTAAGTAATAAAAAATTTGATAGATATAGTTATTTATAAAAATTTATAATTTAAAATAAATTAAATAAATATAAATTTTACCAGATTTAATTCATTAAATGTTCAAATATGAATATACACACATACATATATATATATATAAATAATATATATGATATATAATATGATACAATATTTTATGTATATAACAATATAAACTTAATTTATTAAATTTTAATTAAAAAATTATTTTAAAAAAATTATAATTAGAAATGTATTTTTATTTTTTATAAAAATAAAAGTATAAACTATATATATTGATGGATTAAACACAATTGTTATATATAACTAGTAAACTAGTTTCAAATATAATATTTGTAATAAATTAAATACAATTATATTATCTTTCTTAAACTTTAAAATTATTTATTAATTCATATTTTTAAGGATTCTTTATTCTAGTTTTGAATTATTTTTTTAAATATAAAATAATTAATATACGATAATTTAACAATTTGAAATTGAATCTTTACATCGAATATTGAAAAATTTGGATATGATATTACCAAATACATATCTTATAAAATTTCGAATTAAATTTGAATATAATATATAATAATCGAATTCTTATTCTAATTTTAAATTATTTTTTTAAATATAAATTAATAAATATATAATAATTTAACAATTTAAATTTAAATTTTTACATCGAATATTTAAAAATTCAAATATGATAGTATTAAATACATATTTTATAAAATTTTGAAATAAATTTGAATATGAGTATATTATAATTAGATTCGAATTTATTTGATCTGACCCAAATCCAACCAATTGATAGTCCAAAATTATTTTCACAAGGTTAAAAATCAGAAATGATCCCTCAATTATGAACAAAGTTCTCATTCAGTTTCCAACTTCAATTTATCTCACTTTAATCCCCCAATTTACATTGTAAGACCAGTCCATCAATTTTGATTTATGTCAGACCAGTGGCCTGCACTCCATTCATCCATAGCCAGAGTTCCACTCACCCCGCTCAATCATACTCGATTATAAGTTAAAATCCATGGAGGTTAAATTCGTAATACTCAGTTTGAAGGCTCACGTGACTTGTACGGGGAAAAGGCTTTTATAAATCTACAATGTATACAAACCTTTGGAACTCACTGGGCGAAATACTTAATACAATGTAAATTGGGTCAATTCTGAAATTTCATGTTTTCAGTACATACAATGGGGCGTATAGCCTTCAGCCATTTATTAAAATCATGTAGGCATTTTTCTGCCTTGCTGCTGAAGTAAAAAAATACAAAAATAATATTTTCTTTTTTAAAAAAAGGGGCCATTTTTACAGTTGCTCTAATCCTGGCGTTGCACTAGCAATGGTTTGAATGTCATCAGCACTCCAATTAGCTCAACTATGTTCAGGATGAAGAAGACCATATGGTTACCTGCATTCACACAAGCAACTTCACTCAACATGGGCATGATGAAATCAGAAACACAACTGTTGTAAAACAAATTTTGGAAAGTACTCTTTTCACAGATGGTCATTTTTGAGCTACGTTTAACAAATTTGATGCCAATCGATGGCAGGTACCGTACTAATCGCATTCCTTATTTTATTTATTTGTTTTTACTTCTTACCTTCTGGATTAGCGGAAATCACATGGGATGATCAAAAAGACAAGCAGGGGATTAACAGAGGAAGATGCTTACTGCCTTTTGCAAACTGAAAGTTTTCTAACAAGGGTTGTTTACAATAACTTTATATTCAAGCCTAATCAGTCCTTGAATCATTTTTCTTAGAGTTCAACCCCTTCTATTCTCAGAAAACCCTACTAATGTAACAAATGCATGTGGTCAACCATACATCAAGATTTTGAAGTCAGTAAATGAACTCAGTGCAGAAGTGTTACCTGGAAGAAAGCTTGCAGTTTGACGCTTTTGTGCCCATGAAAAGCTGCAGAAATTAATATCATATCAGATTACAGATCAAGCAATATTTCATTTTCTGCGAATATAAACTGAAAAATCATGTGAAAGATCAAAATATAGGTTAACGCTTAATCCCTTCATGTCTAAATTTTCGCACATATCTAACTTCATTTAAATTGCACCAGCAAATGTTTAATCAAAAGCTGCTTCCCACCTAATCCAACGTTGGTTTTCAATTATAAATTGTAGTTTGTATACCCATGATGGAAAGAGCTTGATTTATCATCCAACAATATTTACCACTAGTGAAGAAATTTTACATCTCCATGACCAAATTAGCACCTATAATGGATTAATGATGTCCCCTTAGACACCATTCCCGCTGCAGATCTCTTTAATTATTGACACCAGGCAGAAGAAGTGACTCTAATTATGCACCCGCACATCACAAAGAAGAAGAAGATGGGAAATAATACTAGATAAGTACTCACATTGCTCCTCCACCAGCTGGGCCCACAGCTTTGAAAAGTGACATTGCAGTCATAGCTAGGCCATTTGCAGCTCCTCTTTGGTCTTGGTCCTAGTGTTATTTATGCAGTTTAAACCAAAATTAGAAAAGAAAATTGTAACTGAAGTCAACCAAATGGAAAAAGAATACCACAGAAATACAGAGTAGAATTGAGAAGAAAATTTACCACTGCTTTGTTTTGCAATAGGAACATACCAGTAATAATGGTCACCTAATCAAGTGAAAAATTAAGAGATCAATAAATATTTCATTTTTTTAAAAAAATAAGGACCAAGCTTTCTACAACTAGAGAAAAAATGAAACAAAGAAAGAAATATGCTCCTCACAAATATGCATGGGCTTTTGTTCACTACGGGTTTGCACAAACACAAGTAGATATTTTCACACTCAAACAAGTTAACCCTACTATATTAGATTGAAAGCGTTATGCTTCATTCTAGGCACCAAAACTTTGATAAGTGAGAAAAGTTCAAATTTCTTGAACAAACTACTAAGTACAATGGGACAAGAAACCTAACACAAACATCATCAACTGCAATAGCATTACCAATAATATAAAAAACATTACTGATATTAGATTATGATGTGTCTCACGGGGGATTATTGTAAGTACAAACCAGAGGAAGCAAAGAAAAATTAGTTATCGTGTCATTGAGTACAAAAATTTTCCTCTGAAGATGAAGGAAAGGTGGTAGTTACTGCACTCGTTCATTTATAGAAGGTTATACTACCTATGTGTCATTAGAGCAAATCAGCAACTTTTGTGTTGAAAGTAAATCTCAGCAGAAGCATACTTTTCCTTAAATAGCAATTCACGGGTTAATTGAAATTTGAAACAATATAATAAATACTAACAGCAATCGAATGTTGTGGTTCTTGTAAGGGTTTAGATAGAATCTTCAAGGAGCGAATACACTTACTGATAAAACATTCTTTATCACAGATGCACAATTTAACAAAATTGAGAGGGGGAGACCATATATCATGGACAAAAAGGGGTAGCATGTTAATAGAGGTATGGTCACCACCTACAAAAAAAAAAAAAAGCGATAATGCATTAATAAAGGTGAAGTTAGTATTTTCTATTTTGGCATGTGGAACAGACAATTTGAGTTTTACAAGGATTGATTGCTTACTCCTCCAATGCGGGCTAACATAACAGCACCACAGATCTTCTCCAAAGCTGGATATAGTGAAAGTTGATAAACCAAAAGCCCAAATCCTAAACATCAAAATAAGAATTAGCATCTGAATAAAAATCATGAAGTTCCAGAATAATAGTGGACGCACAGTGGCATGTGCCAAATAAACATAAAGTAAACAGTGGAGTCCCCTTCAAATTGTTCCTGAAAAGATGCTTTCAAGGACCCTTGATCATAATGCTAAAAGATAGGCAAATTCAACAGTTTGGAAAGGCCAATGAGCTGCCAACATTCTATCAACATGTTTTACCAAACATCAGTTCCAAAATGTTGTAAGAATTCTCTCTTCTGAGTTTCTCCACTTCATCCATCAAGGGCCTTGTTTCTTTAAAATAGAGCAAACCAGAAGTTATAACACAAGTTCAAAAAAAAGAAAAAAGAAGTAAATCCCAATTGTTAGCTGCAACCATAGGAAGCATAGAGCAATGAACTTTTTACATTTGAATTCTTATTTTATGCAGATGTTAGAGACCTAGACAAGTTGATCCCCAGGCCACAAGGCTTCATGCTCTGGGAGGTTAACAGAGGGTTGTCAAACGTTGAGAGACCCATTAGACTCAATTCTAGCAAGAACATGAATTTCAAGATGACTGTTGCCTCTCTTGTGAAGCACATTGCATGGTTCATACATTAAAAGCAGCTATTGATGATTTCCATAACATATACACTCGCTTCAGATACCCATTAAAACAGAAAGTGGTAACTTCTGTAATAAACTTGCTGAACCAAAATGTGAAGAAATTGATATCATACAAATAATAGATAAACAGTTCAATACTATTGACAAGTGTACCTGAAATGGCAAGAACTTCTCCAACATCATCAGTTGAATAACTCAAGCCCCCATGTTTTCTGGGGCTCACAGCCCATAATGAGAATATCTGCATGATGGGTACTGGGGATAAATACAACAACTGGAGCGCAAAAAGGCTGAAAATAAACTACCAAAATGCAGTAGTAAATTATGCAATGGTAAAGCTTAGACAAAATGTTATTTTGAACATGATGCCAATGCTCACCTCCAGTGGCTTTATTAAGATTAGGGATGATCATAATTTTAAAGACAGAATATGATATATATTACATGATCTCATATCAAGAGTTAACATCAGTTGACAAATGATTTAATTTAATGAAAGTGACTACAAAATATGACTTTCCAAAGTTAAAAACAACTAAGTTACACAAACATTATGTTACTAAGAATGGAGTACAGTTGAAGTTAGATATGTCATAGGAGTTAGGCTCCTCTGACTCTATATCCAAAGGCACTAAATCACATTTAAGTTTCATATTTCATATTTCTTAGATGTCCTTGTTTTTCTTAAATACAAAGTCATTTTGAATTGGAAATATCTCCAACTAGATTTATAAGAGTCCATATAACAATGCACGTATGCAGCTATGGAGTGTTTTTCTCTAATATGAGGAACATATATCTGTCCCATCAAATTATGTGAAAGCAATTTTGAAATTACCTCAATAGTACAGAAATTACTCCAGAAAATAACAATCGAGAAAAATTGCATGGTGCACATATGTAAAAATTACTAAAAATACTCATAAATCTTTATTGTATCTAATTTTCTAGGACAATGCACTTAGCCACATGATTAGTTGGAAAATAAAGCATTTTATTTGAATATTTTCCTTCAAAATTCAATTTTTACAGAGAATTTCTGTCATATATAGTATTTTTTTTATCATTCCTGTTACTAATATAAACCAATATCCATCCTACCATATTCCTGTCAGATTCTCAGGAAACAAATTGAAAAGATCCATCTCTAGGAATTGTGGAACTAAACAACATAATAAAATGCACCTCTAGTAAGTGTAGAATCATAGACTGCAATAGTGAGAAAAACAGGTTTCAGTTAGGTACTGCATGCTACCTCTGTATAAGCCATGTCATGCAGTGAGAAGACACAGTAAACTATGATTGATGACATCAAGGGCCAGTTCCTGATCAGACTTTTGGAAGTAGATTTTCTGCCTTCAATATCTTCTGTTTTCTCTTTCACCTCAGACCCATGTGATGCAGCCTCTAGTATGTCATATTTATCTTCAGATGATTTACCTTCTATGTTGTGATTGTGCAAGGTTTCCTACAGTTCTCCATATATTAGAAATAGAAAGGAAAAAAAAGAAAATAAAATAAAAAATAATCAATAATAAAGTCAATTATAATAAACTACCTATTTTAAACTAGACTACCAGGCAACCTAGATCTTAATTGAATATTATCACATGTGAATAATTGTTGCAAAAGAAATCAACAGATCAGAACCATTCATAAGCTTCCATTCCTTCCACTTTATGGTCATCTCTGAACTGACGATAAAGAGGTTTATTTGTACGTTAATGATTTGATTTAGGATCAATATTTGAAATCAAAACTCCAGATTAGCAGCAGCAGGAATATAAACAGCCTGCTAGTGTTGCACAAGCATCAAGCATGCCAAGAGAAGACCTTGTTTATTTTTGAAAGTAATAGGTCCACCTCAAAGAATTAACATCATCACAAAGGAGGGACATAGTGCTGTAGGAAGAGGAGTATGGGGGAAGAGAATTCTTTTGTAACTCACTTACTTTCAAATGCTAAGTACAAGGGGTATATATAAGTGTACAATATAACCCTTAAACTCTTGTTACACGAACTATACTAATTACCTATACATGAATCATAATAAATACTAAGTTCATACAAAGTAGATACTCACACAATGAACTTAACCATTTAGAACTCCCAAAAGACACATGTATCTAGTCATAATACACAATCTAGAAAAAATTCAAATTATTTATTTTTCAACACATAGTTCCCAATATCATTATTCAGAAGTCTATACATCACAATTAGATCAATACATGTAGATCCCATTGTCTCTACTCAAAAGCTAGCTCTCAAATAGATTGGCACAAGTGGGTCTTGCACACCATTCATAAAATAGGAAATAGAAGAAGAGAACTAGAACCTATTTCCATGTCGAAAACTAAGATTACAAGTTCTCAACAACCAATGGACGGGGTTTTTCCTCTTTGAGAAAATAGGGAAAAAAACTCGCATTAAATTATTATAAAATATAATAAAATGCCTAGTTAACTTTTCAGAAGTGTAGCCCCTCCTATAATTAGGCTACGTTACAGTAGAGGACCACAGCTGAAGAAAAACTAAGTTTTAAAACTCAATTGTAAACAATTGAGTTATAAGATCTAATATAGTTGTACAAAATAATTGTACATGGGTATATATGGTTATACACAGTAATACATAGTATCTAGCATATTATAATTTTTTCCTGTAAAATGGCCAACTAGGTCATCCAATAGAATTATGTTCAGTTTATTTTTAAATTTGACTTTTCTTCACACAAGTTCCTTCACTAAAATTTTTCCATTTAGCCATCTTTTTATCATATTATGAAATAATCACACTCTGTAAGAAGTCAGTCTGGTATAGTAGAAGGTCATAGAAAAAAAATGCGGGATAACACATCACAGAAATGAGCAAAATGAGCAACATGAATAGAAATTCTTATGTAACTTACCGGAAGCCAGAAAGAAAAAACAGTCACCACCAAAGCAAAAATTGATATACAAAGGCATGGCAAGAAGTATGGAAATCTGCATACAAAGTTTGTACTCTTGGGGTGTAAATGCACTGAGAGTTAATAGAAATATATAAAAGCGCAGTTGTAGTAAAATTAAGCAGACAAGTTACCTTCCAAATAAAGAATCTTGGGAAAATATAGCTGGATATTTCTCTGCAGGCTTATGTCAACAAAAAAAAAAAAAAAAAACATTTATCATACAAACATGAAAACGTGAATATTAATAAAAACACAAATATGAAAAATCAATAAAAACAAATTGTAAAATTATGGATCTTTGAACAAGGTACATCATAGATGAGGAGAGAATTCATATGAAGTGAAGACAAAAACCTCCATCAAAGTTAAGACCTATAAAGAGATTCCTCATATTTGAGGCCTTTGACTCCTTATGAGAATATAGAGCTATGATTTTATTACATGATACGAAGTGAGTCTAGGGCTTTCATTGTGAATGATAAAATAAAAAACAATTATAGTATACACAAAAAGAGAAGACAAGAAAGGCAGGAAAAGAAACCATAAAGTAACCATAAAAACCTTTTACTTTACAAGCAAATTCTCACAAATATGACATAAGTATAAGAAGACATATGAATCCTAGTGAGAAAAACACAAAGACAATATTCTATGAATGGATAAGAAAAGCTGACCATAAGTCACACTATGAAAGTCTGAAGTTTTTGCACCTGTGTTATATTTAATATGCTACTACTATCACACAAAATTAATAGATTTTCAGAAAATTGAAGAAAAAAATCATAGCATTATTTTTTTGATGGTAGATCATGTTCATGTTTGCCTTACAAAAAAAAAAAAAAATACAAGAGTTCCGTGCTTTAATGATTGGTTCAGTGCCTATTAGGTCCGTTTGTGTATCAACATCTTTTCTTACCCATAAGCTGTCTAACCATGTTGCATGCAATCCCTTAATCCTGTTCCAAGCATTAAAAATTCATTTTGCTAAACTAATATTTCTAAACAAGTACTCGTCTACATAATTTATTATTTCATCAGATAAGAATAACCAAAAGCTTTTCTCTTTTTGCCTCTTTTTCAGTTTTTGACCATTTGACCTCGTCTATAAACAGAAAAAATGAAGTACCTGGGCTAGAAAGCCTCCCAAAGCTGGACCAATGATCAATCCTATGCCCCAAGCTGTACTAACCTGACATAGAAATTCAATATTCCAAATTTATATTATTACTGAGAAAGCAAGCCAATTCACATATTCAGATATATGTTTGAGGATTCACAATATGCAAGAAACTGAGCCTTACAGTCGACAATCCCAAAGCTTGGTATTCATTGCGGAAAATTTCAACTGCAAATGCCTAGTTATTCAGAAAGGTTAACAGCATATTAGAATTTGATGGAGAGGAACAAAACAGATTGAATGAAGCCCAAAAGTATGCTTTAGATTAGATACATGATAGAAACCATGATTATGGATCAGAGATACCTTTATTGGCCCAAGCAAACCATTTAAACTTCCAAGAAGAAACCGTGTACAGATGGCCATCCAGAAGTTTACACTAAGACCAAAGAGAGTATTGAAAATAACCCTAAAACCACAAAGATCAAAATATGTTTAGGAAAAAAGAAATTCCTATGAGGATTCTCATAAAATAGCCCAAGGTCAGTAGCAGCATGTTCAAGAAATCCAATTACTCACACTGCAGAAGTGCCCAAAATTATTACTGGTTTTCTACCATATCGATCAGCCACTACTCCCCAAAATACAGATGTAAGAGCTCTTCCAAGCATGAAAGAGGACCCTCGATGACAGTAAAAGTTGATTAGAAATATGTTAAAAAATGCAGTCAATAATAGGTAAGTAGCGATAGGAAATGGAAAGAAGAGAGCTTACCCACATAACCTGCATAGAAACCAATATCTTCTTCTTTTTCTGCAATATGGAAATCCCTAATCTGCAACAAACATCAAAATTGATGCACAACAATGAGAAAACATATCCATGTTAATACAAATGATATCACAGAAAACTCTTTAAAAATCAATTCAATTTTTTAAAAATGTTTTGGTGATCCCATCATTGTATATACATGAAAAACATAGGAACTAGAATTTTCTCCTCATTGGTTCATTAAGAGAGACAGCAGGTCAGTGGTTAATCTCAGCCAATGTGAATGAGATCACAAGGAGATTTGAGATATGACTTTCTACTTTCTACAGTCACAAATCTCTCCCTGGCAAGATTTGAAAAGCTCGAGGGAAGTCAACAGACCATAACTTAGGACATAATTACCATTGTTGCCATTTCTCCTATGATAATTATCAGCATCATCGATATCAATATTAACCACAGGAAAAACTCAATTTCCCAGTCCAGGAACTTTTCAGCAATACTGAATGATTGACAAAATCAGTAGTTCGCTGAATTGACTTACATCACTAATCTATCCCTTTTGTGTGCCACTGAAGTTCAGAATGCATTCTCAGGAAGCATTTCAGAAACATGTCAAACTCCACCAAGTTTCTACCCATTGAATCAGATTAATGAGCTAATAAGGTTGCTTCAAATAGCTGATCCACAATTTCTTGTTGAATGACAATCACGACAGTATGGTAGAATGAATCAAAGAAATAATGTCCAGCACCAGGCATGTCCTGCCTTCAAGTAAATTCATTTAGTTAATTGTCAATAGTGATGAGAGGAAAACCAAATTTCAGTTCAGGAATGACTCAATTGAACAACAACTTGCAAGAATGAAGTCCAAACACTAAGGTGAGTCCAAAGGAAGCCATCATTTGACTTTCCAGCAGATGTATATGGCTTAATTTCCATAATTTAATGTTTTACACGTACTGATCTAAATTTTGTTCTTGATCTAGTTTACAATGCTGGAGTGTGCTATATCACTAACTTAAATTGAACAGCAGCTCATGGAATGGAAAATTGTAGGATGCAGAAATTCCAAATCTAGAGCTTAATCAATGTAAAAATTGGGATTACTAGGGAAAAAAAACAAAGTTAATGGCAGTTACAAACCCTAGAATTCTTGGTGCACACTTTAATTGAAGACCCACCCTATTTATGCTCAATGGTATTAATACATGCAGGCAAATCTAATCTCTAGAAGTTACCAGCTGCAAAAGTCAAATTTTTCCTAGAAATATCGGCAAAGAAAATGTCGAGCTAATTTCAACTCTCTTTTTCACAAATAACAGCATCCACTCCTGTTCAAGTAGACATTCCTATAAGACAAAAATATTTGAGAAGTGTCTCCCAGATTCCAACATGTTCAAGTGTGGGTTCTATTTGTCTTGTTTATAGTATAATGAATTTTGATTGAATCTGTACATAGAAATTCCTAGTTTCAATGTAGAGCTTAGTACGTCAATGTTCCTATATTGTACAACTCATCCATTAATGTTCAGGATTTTGGTTAGTCTCAGTAATTACCTTGTTGTCTACCTTTCTTTTGCCTGCACCAAAGATATTGATTCCCTTTCACTAAGGCAAAGAGAACCCAAAAGACTTGACTAGTGTGTTGAGTACTGTTCACATAGTGAGATTCAATCAGTGCCAACCTATGTCACCCTGACTCTTCATTCAGGGCTGAGTACCCATGCTGATGCCATATGACACAGGTATGGCTACTGGACATATGTCAGACTTGCCTTTGTTTTGGTAGGACAAGGCTCATTTCTGATCAGGGCAGAAACAATTTGCAAGTATGCGCACTAAGCTTTCTAGTCCTAACTCTAAAATGAGCCACTAGTGCTTAAAACAATAAATACCTATACACAAAAAGGAGGGAAAATAAAGCTTGCTCGTATTTCATCTGGTAAGCAACAACCTAACGCTATCCCTTAAAGGATCAGCAGAAAAGATTCCAAGTTGAAAATCACATTTTGAACTATATTGACAATGCTCTCTAAGGAATCTGAAAGAAGAAAATAAGTAGACAGAACCTGAATGTAGATTTTTCAACTTGGAACATCTCAAAAGGTGAAAATCAAAACATACTTATTTTGTCTTTGTCTAAGAAACTTGAAAATAATGGGTATCCAATATGTAAAGTCATAAACCAAACAGGTATTTCTTCCTAGCCCTTTTTGAATACAATTTGCAAGTACCCAATACCAATTTCAAATGTAAATGTCCACTCACCATGAAGTAAAGGAATGGGAAAAGTGATGATATCGGCAACGCTGACAAAAGCAGAGCAGAAAATTTCATCAGGACTTGATAACATATGATTTACAAAATCACATGACTCAGCAATTAACTAACCAAAGTCACATAACGAGATCATCATTTAGTGTAGAATTTGTCATGACAGTGAAGGATAAACATATTAAGCATATAGCATGACATAAAGAAGTAAATAAGTAAAAAACCAGACCATAGGAAAAGAAAGCTACACTTACTGCCTTCATGATCTCCCGAAACAAAGCAAATATATTCTAAAATTCAGGAATTCGACTGCTAGCCCAGTGTCTTTGCACACTCATTCATCCAGTGTATTTAATGCTAGTTCGTAAATCAACGCCTCAATTTTATTAGGTGCTGAAGCATAATGTAACAGGCACCCAACTTCACCTAGCATTAAAGAAACCCTCATACACCCTTTATTTAAATATAAAATATTGTTTTATTTTAAAATTTTAAAAAAGCATCTCATAAATAAGTCAAGCTTGAGTTGAACTTGAGCATACTTTGTTTGCATATACGAGTCAATTGAGTTCAACAAATGAACTGCTATGGTTTAAAAGCTCAATCTTGATCCACAATTGCTCGAATTTGATCGAGCCAAGCAAGGGAACAGGCCAACCAGCTGAGCTCGGCTCAGTAGCATGCTAAAGATTAACCATCTTCGAGATGATAAAATCAGGAACTTATATTTTAACGATTGGTAGGTTGTTATCACAAGAAATGGCACTTCCAAGAATATCAATATCGCATTATATACCATGTTAAAGGAAGATTAAAACAGGATAAGGTGGTTAAAGGAAGAATAAAACAGGACAAGGTGTGTTGAGTAGAAGTACAAGTAAGATGCAAATTGCATAATAATTATAATTATACCTGTGCAGAGGACCACAATCCATATAGAGACCAGTTGCTTGATGGGGATACCTCGTTGAAACTGTTTTTGCCGTTCAACCTTACACCCGGGCAGTTTTCATGGAAATCGTTGTTCAGAAGGGCCTGTTTATACTCCTCCGCCATTTTGATTTCTCCCCGAAATCAAGAACCCAACCGGAATTCACCCCCAAAGCTTCCCTTTCGCCTACAACTCCAACTGAGTTTCCTTCTTCTTCATCAAACACAATACACAACACATATCAAACAGAGCAGCAAGTGAGTAATAGCGTTAGACGTGCATGTCAGAAAGCGCATATGCGACGCATTTGCTTCTCTCCTCACGTGGTCAAGAAAGAAGAACTCGAAAAACCCATGTAATAATTAATCTTAATCTTAAAAAATAAGAAAAAGAACAAAAACAAAAATGACAGTGGGTACCTGACTACAAAATCAAGAACCACGAGCTTAGATTCCTGGGGGAGAGAGGCGGAGCTCCGAAATCGACAGGAATATTGTCTCACATCCAAGCAAATTAGTGAATACCCAGAGGGTATTTATTTGCATGCCCACACCTTGGCGCATAGCATCACTGCTCACGCCAGCTAAATAAGCTGCGAGAAATTTGATGGCTGGCTGAGGCGAGAAAGTGACCCAGAAAGCTAAATGATGAAGGAATTTAATCACGAATAGAAGCGCGAAACGAATATTGTTTTGGCGATGACGCGAGATTTTGGGAGAGCCGTAAGCCATTCGCCTTTTGGAACGTGACAACAGCAGCAGTTGGCTTAATTATGAAATGCGGAAGAATGAATTCATTAAAACATGCATTCATTGCCATCTATTCAGAGCAATCCAAAGCCCCATTGATCTGACGTAAGAAATTTTTCGAAATGAAACAGGAAAGTCTGCTTCAACTTAAAATATTTTAATGCCACGATTCCGCTCCGATCATCAAAAATATTTTTTAACAAAAAAAAAGGTTGATAAAAGCTAACCGCCTTTTTTTTAATGCCGTTGAGCCGTGTAAAGGCGGCCCTAACTATGACGTCAAGTACGGGTGGAATGAATTTGGATGTCTACAACTTGATTACCTGCAAGTAAGATCTCTGCAATCTCACGATAACCGGTCCTTGTCTGTCGCCATTTATTGTCTTGTCTTGTCTTGTGCATAACTGGCTTCAAGTAAAATATTGTGACCGCAAAAAAAAATCGGAATTGGAGTTCTTGTTAATAATTTCAATTAATGACGTTATCTTTCAAGGGTATTCATCGTTTAATTTAGTTATATTTAATATTTATATTTAAATTAAATTTTATAATTTTAAAAAATTAAATCAGATTATAATTTATAATTTAGTTTAATTTTAAATTATAATTTATAATTTATAAAAATAGAATAAATTAAATTCTTTATTTTTAAAAAAATTAATAGAATTATCCTAAAAAATGAGACATTTAAAAATTTTTTACAATCTATTTAATTTAATAAATTCATTATTTACCAACTATTCACAGTTATTATATATTATATAATAAATATATTTATACAAGATAACTTAAATCATCTAATAAAAATCTTTTTAAAAAAAATAATCAATTATCAAAAAAAGTATAAAGATATAAGAAAACAAAATAAAAAGAAGTATGAAATTGAACAATAAAGATAAATTGTATATAAAGATTAAATTTTAATTTTGTATATGTATAAATTATATAACTTAATTTAATTTATATAATTTATTTAGACATCGAACATTAAACAAAATTGTATTTATTTACAAATCGAACCAAAAAAAAGTATAATTTAATGGATTTAAAGATTTTATTTGATTTGTTGAATACACCATCTTTCTTATATGTCTTAAAGTGGCTTTTTTAAAAAAAAAAATTGCCATTCATTAATATAAATTCAAATTTTTATATTATGCAATAATTATGACATTTTTTAATCTTATTTTTTTATCTTTGGTTGCTAAAAGTAGCTTTATTTAGGGGAAAAGCACCATATTTTATATTATTTCAAAAATTTTTGTTATATAATAATTATGACATTATTTAATCTAAAAAATTAAGAATTATCATAACTGTGTGGTTGCTAGAGGTAGCTTTATTTTGGGGGAAAACACATAATTAATTTATTTCAAATTGTTATATTTTATAAAAATCATGACATTTTGAATCTTAAAAAAGTAAGTAAAGCAGATTTATTTGGGGTGAAATGGCAATTTTTTTTTACTTTGTCCTGTCAAAATATTAAAATCTATCATACGTCAGAAAATTAAAATCTAATATTTTCTGGCATTTAAAACAAAAGACTCTCTGGAAATTTAAAGATGGGTCCAACTTTTTATCAAAATTAAACATTTAATGGGCTCATGAAATTTTCTGTTCTAAACAACCCTTTGCATTTGGTATATCTAATTTTGAATAAATAAACAAATTTGGAGACGTTGATTTGACGTAACGAGAGCAAGTGACAAAAATGTACCTACCATTATTAATAAAATACTGTTAGAATTAATTTAAAATAAGATAGACCCGAGAAACCAGTACACCTCGTAGAAAAACAAAACCGCGTAACTCGATTGTATCTATTCCACCCTGGTTTGAAATTATGTATTTGATTTTGAGGTTCGTCCTGACCTGGGTGAGTGGTCCGGCAAACAAGGGGTTGTTTGGCCTATATTTTTTTGAATTTTATTTTTTTAATAATAAAATTATTTTTTTTAGAATGTTTGAGTTGTAAAAAATAATTTTTTTCATTTTTCTTAATGTTTTAAGAATTTTCTAGTAAAAATTGACTATTTATCATACAATTTAAAATTTTAAAATGAATAAGCAAAAAATTAACTTTATATCCCCGAAAACCACAAATTCTGTTAAAAAGTTTTGTCTTTTTGGAAAAGCTGCTTTCGGAGACATTTCAGAAGAAAAGAGAACCGCTTAAAATAATTTTCCGTATGATTTTCGCTTTTTGGCTTATGCCCGCCGTCACCATCGACGTCACATAATTTGCCGTGGTTGATTTGTGGAAGTATTTTAAGGGCGTGGTTGATTTGTGCGGCGGCGATTTTTTTTTCTTTTTTTAAAAAATATTTCAATAATTAACTCTTCAAATTTGTTAATTAGTTAAACAAACAACTTACAATTTTTTTTTAAAGTACAAGACTTTGCAAAAGATTTCTATAATCCGTTGCTTGTTTGAAAATAAAGTTTAAGTTTGCATTTCCAAAATTGTTAATTAGTTTTTACATTTAGAGATGTTGAAAAAAAAAACAACTTACAATTTTCTAAATTACAAGACTTTTGCAAGAGATTTTTTATAATCCATTGAAATAAAGTAAAGTTCAACTTTGTGTTGAGGTTAATTAAGCTTAAATATTATTTCCAGATACTTTGGATTTGGTTAAATTTGGACTTAATCTAACTTGAATTGTAATATTCTATCTCATATTAATTTATAAATGTAAAATCATATTGTGTATAAAACTTTATAATTTATATTTAAATATTTTGATTCAATAATTTAAACTCAACAGATTTTTGAGGTCAATAATTTTAAAGTTACTACAAATAATATTAAAATAAATAATTTTAGAGTTCAATTCTATTTTGTATTTTGTATAAATATTTTCAAGTCAGTTACACGAATTAAACTTCAAATCAAATAAAGTGAGATTTTGAGTTAAGTTAAAAAGGTTTTAGCACGCTATGGAGGATGGAATTATCCTTTTTTTCATAATTAAAAATAATATATATATATATAAAGATGAATGATTAATTAACATCTAATGTAAGTGAATGTACTTATACCACATCTTATACCGTTGATTTTGTCAAAATCAACGAATGATATTAATTTCCAACAACTTCTAATAATTAATTTAACATTAATTTTTAATAATTAATTTAACTTTAATTTCCAATACCTTTTAATAATTAATTTAACATTAATTTTTAACAATTTCTAATAATTAATTTAATTTTAATGAATGTCATTCGTCGATTTTGACCAAATTATCGATGTAAGATGTGGTGTAAGTATTTTACACTTACACTAAATGTTAATTGATCCTTCCCCGTATATAAATATGTGTATATATATGAAATAAAAATGCACAAGTTAAAAAAAATTATTAAATTACACATTTATTTGTTACCAATCTTATAATAAAATTTACTTTATATACATTTATTTTTTTGTCAAACCCAACTTTTCTCTAAATTGAAAATGGAGACTTCTGACAAAACTTTAATTTTAAAATTTTAGATTATTTATAAATTTTTAGTATAAAAAATTACAAAATAAGTCTGGCGCCGAATTCTTGAAACACCAAACAATCCTTAGTCAGGGGTTTGGTGCGGATAGATTAATGAATCAAGACTTTTTGTTGATTTAGTGATAATTATAAACGAAGGTTATTCATTAACATAATCTTGTGGTTTGAAAGCTAATTACCAATCAGAGATTTAAGGAAATTTGTACGGGGTAGTTGCAATGGCAACAATATGTATAATTAGCTGCTTAAAAATATTGATATTATCAAAACTGTACACAAGGTTGAGAGTGTGTTAGGTAATATTTTTTTTCAAATATACTTTTTTAAAAGTAATATTTTTAGGAATTATTTTATATTAATTTTAAAAATAATTTGTAAGATTTGAAAATTATTAAACTTAACAATTTATTGAACCCAAATCATTATTCTAAACTATTTAAATTTAAATTATTTAGTAATAATTTTTAACCTTTAATATATTACATCATATCACTTTTTCAGAAATTAATATAAGACGGGTTATCACAATCCTTACATTTAAATATTTAACGTTTTCGTCAAATCACAAATCTACATTCATTTCTAAACAATATAAGTTTAAATATCGTTTTACTCCGATATCATTTCTAACTACCTAAGAGTTATTAAATCTGATAACTTGTTGAGTTTAAACCACTGACCCAATATAACATCCCAAGCCAATAATAATAATATAAATAAATAAAATAATAAGACAATTTGGTAATTTTGGATTAGTTAGGGGTTAATTAAGGGAATTAGTGACTTATCGAATAAATTAGAACAATTAGGGTTGAATTAACATTTCTAGAGACTTAATTGAAAGAAATAGAAGAATTAAGGGTT